CTCTCTCTCTCTCTCTCTCTCTCTCTCTCTCTCTCTCTCTCTCTCTCTGTAAGTCCGATAACTGTACCAGGCACATTTTTAACCCCACTGTTTCGTTTGTGTGCGCTTCAGGAAGCAGAGAGTGCCATCACCGGGATGAACGGGCAGTGGCTGGGCAGCCGGAGCATCCGCACCAACTGGGCCACGCGCAAGCCCCCAGCGCCAAAGACAGAAGGTGAGTGGAACAACTTCAAACTTGACCTCTATTTATTCTGTACAGCAGCACGCGAGGGCGTGTGTTGTCACTGTCACCCCACTTCAGTGTGACAAAACGCGACGGTCAAAATTACATGCGACGACCACAGTTTGACAACCAAAAAACACTCATTTTGCAATTGTGACAACCATGTTACCCATTTTTTTTGCGTTTGGAAGGAATATTTACTTCGATGTCAACTTGCTCTCGAAGCGCGCTTTCTTGTTGCTTTCCCCTCGCTCTACTCCGTTCTAAACTTCACAAGTTTATTTAACGTCCATGGACGCGATCTTCTTATATCTCTCTCGCGATCCTTACTTTGGCCTCACTCAACAGGTTTGCACCCTCGTCACTGTCCTGCGTCCCTATCCTAACGCGACCCGCCCCCACCTCCCTTCTTGAACCCTCGGCCCCCGGGCAGACTACTGCTCTGTGGTCAGACGGTACGGTGCAGTGCGTCAGACGCAGCTGTGTCTGAGAGCAAGTTAGTTGCGGGTGGTTGCTCTCTCTCTCTCTCTCCGTCTCTCTCTGTCTCGCTATCTGGATTGCCATGAGGCCCTTACGGGCACGGCCCATCGCACTAATTCGAAAGGGACAGTCCTACCTATAGCTCACTAGTTGTGTTCTTGTGGGCACGTTCTAAATCAGATTTTGTGTCTAAGCTAGAAGATAAGGTTCACAAAAGCTAGTGAGAGTTTACATAGCCTCCACCCAAAAACAATGTTTTTAGGGATTTGCTTTCAGTATTCAAAATACAATTTCTAACCGTAATTCCTATTTACGCTTTTGACAAGTAATTCTTCCTAACGGAAGGACATTGTTCTCAAAAATTTAAGACCATGTACTAGAATAGGCAACATTTCTTTTTTCTCTGTGTCGGATAAGATCGTATCAAAGTGTGTATCGCTCAAGATGCGCACCGCTCGCATGTCATCCTTGGCAATGGTGGCAGCCGAGTGGTCGGGTGGTTAATCCCCGCTGTGGTCGCCTGTCCGCTTCCCCCCCCCCCCCCCCCCTCCTCGGCTGCCCCAATCGGGTTAGAGCGAGCGCGGAACTGAAATTGACGTCCACCGCACGTTTGACGCGCGCCGGCACACTTTCGAGGAGTGGATCGAGTTACTGGCATGGGCACGCCTTGCCTTGCGGCAGCCTGGGCGTCCTCGCCGTCATCGGCAACGTCGTCTTCGCCACACTCCGCACACTGTGAAAAATATCTCTGCGAGTTTGAAATATAGTTGTTGTCGGTGGTTTTGAGGGGTTAACGATCACTGCAAGAAAAAACAACGGAAAATCAACGGACGACAGCGGCAATTATTTTCCGGACGTGTCCGTACCCTAAATTTAGCTGTACGGTCGAAGCAAAGCGGTTGTTCCGGGTTGTTCCGTACCTCATTTTGTGCGGAGCAACCGTATCACGCCTTTAACGGATATAAGCGGCAATTATTTTCCGGACACGTCCGTACCCTAAATTTAGTTACATGGTCGAACTCAAACGGTTCTTCCGTATCTCTTTT